TGTCATTTTTACTACAACGTTTTCCCCGTCCAAAGCGTCTCGGGTTAAATCTATTTGCCCAATATTTTGCCGTGGAATCCTACAAATAACGGTAAAAAGGGCATCATAGGTGCATGCGGGATTGTGCGTTAAGAAGCCTGTACTTTACCGCGTACGTCAAATTATTCACAGGCTGTAGCCGTTTAAAGAGTCGCTCGGTTTCGGTGAACGTTGTGTCCCGCTCTTTTACACTAGAGTGAGACCGGAGACCCACGGTCGGTCGAGCAGTCTCGCCGAGCTGTCAACGCGATGGTGGGGGCAAGGCCTCGGTTGCGGAAGGTAATGGAAGGGTCACGACGCGTCATCCTAGAAGGGGGTCACAGACGGTCTTCGTGGAAGCGTGGCGGGGAATGTGGATACGCGCGTAACGGTAAATAGTAAATATCGTTGACCTATATTCTGCAAGCGCGCGGCGAGCTGATCGAGCGTTCGATGAAATAGCCGATTTCTCCGCTCGTAGATGTCGTAGCGACTTCAAGTAAAAACTGTTGCAAAGCTGAGACTGCCGCGTTTCTAGTAGACGACAGATCATTTCTCTGTGAAACAAGGGTCGATTAGGGGGATTAAATTCTCACGACGGATATTGTTTGTTTTTAAACTGTGGGGAAAATCATTTTTTAATAGGAATTGTTAAACTCTGAGTGCTATTTATGATATTGTGAAACATGTTAGTTTTTCACTTTCAATGAGCCTAAATGCAATTAAAGAACAAATTCATTTTGATGAGTTCTATTAATAAGTTAGATCCTTACTTATAATTCTGTTCTGAGAAGAAAATACTTGAAAACTTATATTTGTGGGATATAAAGTTTATCCATAGAAATATTTATTTTCGCAGATATATATTTTATATCTTACAAATAAATTCTCAAATATTCTTTCTCACACTAAATATTTATTCCCTCCTTTGTAAGTAAAAATATATAAGATATCAATCTCCGAATATATCTCGTGTGTGTGTGTAAAGTTGGAATGACATTTTCCATCAATATAAATTGGTGAGCACTTGTCAATAAAACATTCATAACAAGCACTCGAGACGGATTCGTGATTTTTAAAGGTGATATTCAGTTTCGACGAGGCGATGCTTAAATATCGAATCGCTCGAGATGTACACATGTTAGTACACATACTACTAGTACACATTGAGCATCTTGACCTCATCGCGAAAATAGTTTAAGTTCATCCCTAATGTATCTATTTATTTCTCTCCTCTACGATCCACCCTGCTCGAACGAAACGAAAGACAGAAAGTTGAGAGTCGAAAAAGCGAGAGGGAGAGGTCCCTGCGGGTACTCTATACATACTTCAACTTTAACCCTCGGCTTTAACTTCAGTTTATCTGCGCGCAAGTCAAAATACAAAGTTAGGATATGTTCTTTATTTGACTAGGGAATTATAAAGTCATTTTTCTTGTTCTTCGGGGTGCACGATACGGTTGGGAAGTAACGCCGTATGATTTGCGACTGTACATAACACATTCCGTTATCATATCACCCTTATGTATAATGTGCAACCTCCCGTTGCATCGTTGATCTTAGGTAGACCTGGCGGTTGCGCTTCCCACTTCTCAGTACACGTGTGTTAGTGTAGCCCGACACGGAATCACGAGCGTAACAAGCGTGAAGGTGGAATTAACGGGATAAATCTAGTATCACGGCGAATAGATATTGCTACGTGACTTAATTTTCCGTATACTATTATATTTTCTGGGACATACAGTACAATTTAAGTCTATCAGAGAAAGACCAAGAAAACTTTGAACCTATCACAACTTACTTTAACTTTATTGTAACTTTATTGAAAATCAATATTTTTGAATATATTTTTTTCTAGAAATATAGGAATGCCTCAACTATAAAGTACACACAGAAAGATCAATACTGCATTCAATGTTACTTGCTTCAAGTAATTCATAAGTATACATAGGGTTTTCGACGGTAACATAAGACGGACATAAGACTCTCGTGTACATGTAAATTAAGTCAAGCTAAATGAAAAAGTCCTCTATTATTTTACATATAACCACATAGATTTTTTAGTCATTAATTAAATAAGATTGGCCAATTATCACATGGGATCGTCTTCGGATCTTCTTTAATATTTTACCATGCATAGCGCGTGATCATTCATTAATTTCTTTTTTAATTAATAACTGAAAGTTTGATATTGCCTGCAAAATAGTAGAGAAATTTTCTGTTCGATTTGGCTTAATTTAAATGAAAGTTTTATATGTTATCGTCAGACATATCCTGTATATTCGTAAATCTATCATAAACGTCATAAACGTTGTTATAAACGTCAAATTTATCCAAAATACATTTTGAATCTAAGTTTAGCATTTCAGTCAATATTAAATTAAAACTTTATCGAAGAAAAGGTTAGTTTAATCTTTTTTTCGATAAAGTTTTATAATATTCATGTAAAGAGAATAGATTTTTCTTTAGAATACACATGATAATAAGTTTTCCTAAAATTTTAAAACTAGAAAATATTTTTTTGAAAATATTCCTAGAAAATATTTTTTGTTAAACATAATCATTACTTAAAGAAAAAAAGTAGACTGAACAGTTGCTTTTCTTAGCAGTAGAACGATATTTTTTGTAAATAATAGCATGAAAATTTGCAAACAAATTTGCGCTATTCTAAAATCTTCCTAGACTCTTTATGAAAGTTATTAGATGACCTGATATTCATTTGGGTTCTCACAGACCTAACATTGCGTGTACGCGGAGGGTAAATTATAATCAATGTCTGAGATAGCAAACAAAATCTGTCACGACGAAGTCTCTGGACGACACGTTTCGCAACGAAGATAAGAAGAGACTCGATTTTAATATTTGCCATTTATTCGGTACTTTAATTTCAAGCTTGGCCGCGCAATTATCGTCGTAGACATTATTGCTTATTACACCTTCGTAGTAGAAATTTTCCTGATACTGATTCTGATCACAGAATTATGTCAGATGATCAAATAATAACGAAATTCTAATTGCGACTCCGTGATCGCACTCGAGAGGTGTTACTGTTAGTGATATTCGCATCTAAATGTCAAGTATTCTTGACACATACTCAAACGCTAAGTACATCCTTTTTATTCCAAGTTTCAGTTTTCTTATACGAGCGTGTTTTAGCTTGAGAATCAGGAATGCGTACTTAGCCTTCAGATACGCGTTAAGAATATGGCTTCAGAACTTCGATTTCAATTCCATCGAGCGTTTCTCGTATCCGAGCCGATTGTCTTATCAGAGCGCAACGCCGACATTGCGATTGGAGTCGAAAGTAAGATCTCTCAAGGAGCGGTACCGGTGATTACTTGTCGTGAAATTTATCGGTCCGGACAGACGGCGGAAAATCAATATCCGCGGCGGGCTTCAAGGTGGCCGGTACAGCGTCTTGTTCGACGAATAAAAACCTCCCCGCACGTTTCTCAAATGGTGACGGCACGTGTCGGAGTGATACCCGCGCGCACTTGACGACAGGATATTTTTACGAGCGGTGATTTCACGCTTTGTGTAATAACGTCGGGTTAAAGTAATTGCTTCGTAAACAAATTTTTCAAAGAATATTTTAAAATTTTAATAGTATATTAATCGAGACACAGTTGATACGTATCACGTGCCTTTTAGTTAAATATAAGTAGAATGGTTAAATAGTCTCTAAGAAACAATAATCAACATGTAAAGATGAGATAAATACAGTAAACTATGAAAAAATCCAACATCATGATTATTTTTCTAATAATGTATTAATATGCGTCTATCGATATAAATAATGGATTAAACAAACATGTACCTGACAGTCTCAGTCATTCGAGTAGAAATGTAACTAGCCGGTTTCAATCAAAAGTTCGTAGCTAGCTTGTACAGGCTAGATTAAATTTTTTAGCTCGTTACTAATTTGTTATTTATTTGTCGCTGGTTGGTGATTCGCTGAAATATGAAATCATGTTTGTGGTCTAGCCTTTGTCTAATCATTATATCAAATATGATAGAGTAAATAGCGTTCTATCTATTCTAAAATACATTATTTATTTGCTAATTTTAAAATGCTAGTATATCATCACTAGCATTTTAAAATTAGCAAATCAAAATTGAGCTTATGTTAATCTCATAAAAATCTCAAACAAGCAGAATTAATGAATAACATTGCTAGCTAGCAACAACTTATGGTTAATTTTGCTTGTTTAATTAGTTAACTTATTTGTCTAGCCACTAGGGGAAGTGAGCGTTACATTACTTGCTAGTATCTACTAAGATAATCCCAAACCTAGTATTAATACGTCAAAACGCGAGAAACGATTATTTCTTCATGAATTTTTAAGCATTATGTAAGTTTAATCGATATTTTCTTGATATAATGTGAAAGCTGTATGTCATAAATTATATTTGTAGATATTTAGTAAAGATTTGTAGAATTTCTTCGCGTTATATAATCCATTACTTAGCATACTTTCTAGCTTTCTTATTTGAAAAAGTACTTTCTGTATTGTCGCGAAATAACTATCCTGATATTCGCGTCGAAAGATACTCGCCTTATTCCTTTTGGTCGTGTTGGTCTCGCGTCACAGTTGAACGCACGGTGAACGCACGACAAAACAACGAATAAATTATGGTGACGCGTTCCCCGTGAACATGTTGCACTTTACACTTCAGGACGTAACGTGCAATGGCGGTAATTTCACGTGGGCGTTAAACCGAGCGAAATTTTGCTCCGACAAATTCCATCTCGCCTCACCGACCGAACGTTGCTCGCCGCCGTCGTGCTGAACTTCCGTCGCAGCTCATTAGAGATTACATCATAGTTTGTCACAGCCAAAGGGTATGAGTGAACGATGAAGCTGCAGTGCGAATGGGTAAATTTAGAATTGATTGGCGCATTTCTCACGTTACGTTGTCGTTCGGCAATCCGACTAGAGTTGCTTGTTGACGCATGATGCATTGTGACTCGCTTCTACGTAATCATTTTTCTCAATGAACATTTTATTAATAATCGTTTGTACTGCTGAATATTACATGTTTATATAATCTAAATCATTACAAATTTGTAGATTTTTATAAATGTACATTTAAATTGTCATAATCGTGCTTTTATTGAATTGAATCAGAAATGGAAGTGAATATATTATTCGTATATTCCGACATGGTTGAATAATCGGGAGATTAGCCTCAGTCTTCATTTTGAAAGCGTGTTGCGCGCCTGCAAGGCATTCTACTCGACTAAATTCGATTTAACGCGCGCATGGCAAATCTGATCTATATGTACAGACAATTAAACGGCAAGAAGCAAGATATTCTGTAGAGTAAGTGTTCCCCATTTAGAGTGATAGAATTCAGTGATGGTTAGTTTGACCCATCTGACGTTAGAGGGGCGCCAAACGGCACCGCTGACATCCTTTCGTCAATTAGAGCTCACGGCGAAAGGTAAAAAGCAGGGCGAAAACCGGAACAACGGGGGGGAACCGAGAGGAGAAATAATGGAATGTCAATAAAGGGACGCCATGATGACGTAGGTCGGTGGATAGATAGAGGGGTAGAGAACTCCCGTTATATTTATTATGGTACGGGCTTTACGATTGCGAGCTATGTTGACACACTGTAAATAACAGCACCCTGGTTCGGGGCCGTCGGAAATACCATATCTTTGAACTCCGCGCGGTCCTTTGTTGCACCGTTCTGACAAAGATCCGTTCTGAGAGCGTGCACGAATCGTTGAACCTCGTTCTTATTGATGATGGCTACGATGCAGCCGCCCCAACTGCAATAGGGAGCGTTGTAATTCAGTCGCGATGGAGCGAAAAGACACAAACTTAGCTCTTCATTCGCTCTGTATAAGGTGTCCGACAAATACGCGATATACAGGTAAAACTGAATACAAAATTCCTCTACTATTTCGTAACAATTACGTAAGATATTGAGTTGTTAATCGAAGATTGGCGAATATGATAGATGAGTTGTGCGATATGGTGACGTCTTTCTTGTGTTTCGGTCAAATTGAACAAAAAAGTTTTTTACCGTTTTAAAAATGACCACATAGGTTTTTAGATACTAATTAAAGAAGATCAGTGTATTATCGCACGATCATGTATCAATTTTCTTTAATTAATAATTAAAAGTTGACAATATTATTTGCAAAATGGTGAAAAACTTTCTTGTTTAATTTTAATATATAAGTATACGACGACAGACGTCGCTATTACAACTTATTTATTAGAGTTTCTCAAATCAAAGTTAGTGTATCATTCATCATTTGTAGGGAGGAAGTGAGAGAGTGAGAAAGAAGTTGCAACATGCTTTGTCTTTCAGTCCTATTCGCGGTTTATATATGTGTGTGAGCGCGTGTGTGTGATAGCAATTGATATTAACACTTCGTGTACAATCATAATTTTTGGGACATATAATACAACCTGCCAGACTCGGTGAATAAATAATTTTAAAGTTGGACAATAATTTGAAAGTCAATCTTTTTTAGACACATAACAGTTTTCTAGTCATATAAGTTCTTATTTTAAGTTCTTGTTTATCGATGAAAGTATTTCTAAATGTGGCTTATAAGTTCTTTGATTGACTTCAGTCGTATTTAGAGATACTTTTATTGATACAAGTGAATTCAGAATAAATATTAAAGAAAAGCCTCAGCTATAAGAGATAGTAGCGCATAAAAACAAAATCCGCGGATTTGAATTTTATTTGGATTTCTATTTTGACGATTTGAATTTAATTTTAAATTCGAATTCTATATACATATATATTTCTTTTTTTATTATTTTAATTTACTGGATTAATCTATAAGTTTGTGAGGATTTTTAAATAAAATTGAAATATATTTTATTCTTGTTAAAAATAATTTTAATCCATAATACTTATGCCATTCTGTTCGACAATCTTTTTTGCCTTTTTTCACGTAATTTCATAATTCCCTTCTTGTAAAACTTTTATGTTTTTCCAACGAAAAATGTTGAAAGTGATTTTTCACATATTCCAAAAAAAGCAATGTTTAGCAAAAGCTGTTAAGAGAGTTTTGTAGTGAGCGAAACAGATGATAATCGAAGGGAGCAATGTCGAGTGAATATGGAAATTTAGACAAAACATCCCAGTTAAACTCTAACAATTTTTACGGAAATAAAAAAGCATGATGCATCGGAAAAACTAATCACTGCCTTTTATTTTCAAGCCGCGACTAAGCCAACTGTATTTTTTTAAAGTACGTTATTACTTATATCATAAAATATGAGAATTATTAACATCATAAAATATTAGAACATATACATATATGAATGGCTAACTATATGAAACTATCCTTCTAATATCAACATACGAATGCTAACTAGACAAAAATCCGCATAAACTTATAGATCAGTCCAAAATTTCAGATCTCTTATTTTAGACATTTTGAAATTTCCCCTCATCCTTTAAGAAGATTGACGAGTAATTGAATATTCCTTTGGGTCTCACAGATTCAGCATTGTACACGGAGAGTTAATGTGATGTTATTTGATCAAGTGATCCGAAAATCCCTTTCTGCCCCAGTGAGACGTTTAAATTTAATTCACGGTTGACGGTCGCATTATTACGGACCCGGCTTGTTATAATGATATATTTACCCGGCTCCCGTGAGTCTCGCGCCGAATGCGCCGCAACGTACGGCTCTCTCTACGAGCGCATCCACGCTAGGATGGCTGCACTCGTAGAGTTTATGGAGACTGGCGTGACTCTTCGACATCAGGCTACCCAGCTGTTGGAGCTTCTCGTGTTCCATTATGCCGCTTTCCTCGTTTACGCGACGGAACGCGAGCACTCTGCCGGCCTCTGCGGGCGTAAAAGCAATGGTGCGGTTAATTGTGACAAATTCTGCTGCGAAAACAAATGACGCGATTTTCAGCGTGACGCAAATGTGATGTGTAATGGTCGAAAAAGACATCGCGGAATGCTGTGATGAGCGCTAATAACTACATATAGGAAAAATAATACTGCAGTTAAGAAAATGTTACTTGTTTCAAATATTAAGTTTGCATATTCGTAAATCTATCATCATTTATAAGCATCAAGTTTATTCAAAAAATATTCTGAATCAAGTTTAACATTTTTAATAAAAATGATAAATTGAAATAAAATTATAAAATTGAAAAAAAAGTTGAAAAATGATAAAATTGAAAAATGATAAAATTTAAATAAATGTTCTTGCTTACTATACATACTCTGGGAGAAAAAACATTTATTCGGTAGGTATTGATGATATATTTACTTTTAAATTCTTTTGTCCAAATGGAATAAACAATTGCTCTCATGATGAGCAACACTTTTAGAAAAATTTATATTATCCAATATAAAAAAATTTTATTGTTCCGATTTAGAAATATGTATATTAGTACAAGTAAATACATATGTAAATGTATATTATTGGTACACCATTGAGTAAATGTTTTTTATTTTTTAGATATTTTTTTCTCACAGCATAGAATAAAACCAGTTGTTTCTTCGACAAAGATTTATGATATTCTCATAAAAAGGACTTCTTTTTTAAGTTCTTTTTTAAATACATAATGATGAGCTTTTCTCAAAATTTTGATGAATGATGATATTTTATGATATATGGGGTGATTGATGTGATATGTCTTGTGATGAGTGATGATATCTTTTAACGCATTTACCAAGAAAATATTCCTTGTTGAAGATAACCATTATTCAAGAGGAGGAAAGTAAATTGAATAATTGCTTTTCTTAGCAGTAAGGTAACATTTTTCTGTATGCGTTCTGTATGCGTAGGGTTCAGCGCGGTGTGAAAAGAATGATCATAAAATCGAAAATAACGAGATTTGCTGGATACTCGGATGATAGTGGGATAATTCAGACGTATGGTTAGAACGAAGTTGTCGCTATGATCGATTTCGCGCGAGTGAGTAAACTCGAGTCGGTTTTTAGTGAGTTTGCAATCGATACACGTGTCCGCCATGATAATTTATAGCTTTGCGCGCGATAGAACAGGAGAGGAGCACGCATATGATTGATCACACCGGTTCACGTTCCTCGCGCGCGCGAAATCGAGACTTCATCGTCACAGAAATATCGACACCGGAGGCTCTCGATCGTCGCGAACAGATCCCGGGCACGTTTCCTTCGCGCTATTGCCGGTAATATCGGGAACAGGGTGGGAAACGGTTAAACGCTTCGGTAATTGCTGTGGCGTAATGAGGCGAAACGTAGTTTACCCCCAACTTTTTTAATAGCAAGCTTTGAGAAGTTTCCTCTTAGCGAGCCGAAGTTCACACGGGGAACGCGGTGAAACCTTCGCTCGAGAAGAAGAGAAAAATGGATAAAAAGAGATAGAAAGAGAAAAAGAATGGCAAGAGAGGGGAAAGAGAAGTAAGAAAGGAAAATAAATGTGAAAGGAAGAAAGGTGAAAAACGTATCGACCGCAGAAAATATAAGATGGGGAGAGAGAAGAGGTGAGCTCTCCTGATTTATTGGTTATAAGAGCGCGTTGTGCGATTTAGCGGCGCATGAAAATCGATGCTTTTTACCTTGAAAAACGTGCAGCGCCCGTTGCCGTAGCTTGAACGTTTGCGAGGTATTAAAGGAACCGACGAGAGACGTCTCCTTTAGTCGCTCGTAGCTCGTGCCGAGACTCTCGCAGATCTGCGGACAAAAAAAAGAGAGATAGAAAGAGGGTGGATACGGTGCTTGGTTCCGATAATAGTCCTTTGATTCGTCGTTGACGAGACATTCAGTGAGGCGTATTCGCGCGCAGCCACGAGCCGTTTAACGCGATTGAGTAAATTAACGATAAATGAAGCGTGGCTTTGAGTCATCCTTTCTTTCCCCGACGCAATTTACGAGGCTCTCTTTCTTCCTCACTCACTCACTCATCCACTTACTCACTTACTCACTCACTCACTCACTCTCACCAATGAAGGCTTTGCCTGCCTCTTCCTTCATCTCTTCGTGAGATCTTCAATAACGATCACCGGAAAGATCCATTCGCCTCGTCGCGAGATACATACAAAAAGAAAGCGATCCCGCTGTCTCGTTACGGATGACACAACAATGTATACCTCATCAAGTGTATACGGCTCTTCGTGCAGTTCTGTCATTACTGCGGTAATCATCTCGTCCAAATTAAAGGCGAGTCTCTCTTGGACGTCGATTAATCTTTGAACGTGTTCCCAATCCTTGTCCCTTTTCTTGGCTACCATCTGCACAGAAGAGGAACGTCATTCCAGTTGGGGAAACGCACTGAGAGAGAAGGTTTTAACAAAATACCAGTACCCGTAACAAATGGTCTGTTGACCTGTGGGACACCAAATGATCTCGTAGTAGGGACAAATGATTTGTTACTTTCAATTTGCTGCTCTGAGCAACACTCTCTTCTGTAATGGAGACATAATAAATCGAATCTATCTAATTTAACTGAAATAGACGAGGACAAATGTGATTTGTATTTTAGACAATGACTGCGTTCAACAGAAAGAGTTCAAGAGAAAGCTTTGCTTTGCAACTGTTGTGGAATTCATGAATCTGATTGGTGTATGTTCTTAATTTTAGCTGAATCTAAGAGCAGATATTAATCAAATTTATGAATTTTACAACAATTGCAAAACAGCTTTCTTTGTTAAACGTGGCCAACGCATGTTTACTAAAATGACAAATGATGAAAAATGATTTGTAATGGTAACTGTTCGATCTGTTTTCCCAACGGTCGACCAGCAAACGCGCTTTTATTCTGATAACCGTGGGATTTTTCTCAATGCACGTAGCGAAAAGTGACGTTGAGAAATCGAGAATTACCCGTGGGCGCTCATTTACCTCTCTTTTTTCCTCGCGATCGCGGTATTTTTGAGCGAGGTTGAGTGTTTTCGGAAAACGTCAGTACGAGCGTCGGTACGGGATGGTATAGCGAAGGGGATGGAATTAGAGGAGTCGTAAGAGCTAGAAAGTGCACTGGGCAAACAACGAGCGCATCGATCAATGTCCATCGAGCGTGGAGCGTAATCGGAAAACGAGTCTTGCTGGTCTCTTAGTCTAGTCTTCGCTCGTTTTTATGCCTGCGGATCATTAAAGAGTTTCACGTAGATTCGAGATGGACACGTGACAGAATAAGAGAAAAATCGATCAAACTGCGACGATGTAATCCACGTTTCATTCTAAGACGAGGCGAGTGAACAATGGGGAAGTCGTAATGGGAGATATTTTCTTCCGGTAGAACGCTGCCCGGGTGGAAATTAATCGTGGTGGTCCTAAGTAGTGGCCTTGGCCAAGGACCGCACAATAGGCATGGCCTTTATAGGTAAGCTAAGATAAGCTAAGATAAGCTAAGCCCAGATAAGCTAAGATAAGCAAATCTGAATGCAATTTGGCGAATATGGATTTCGCGTCATGGATTGATGCTAAAATGGAAATCCCAAATGAGGCTTGTGCTAATAAAACTTAATCAGGGATAGTTAGTCAATTCCTGAAATGGTTTTAGTGAAGAAACGATTATTTATTAATAGTTAATGATTGATTAACTATTAAGAACGTTATATTTTTGTGTAGAGTCTAAGTGGAGCTGCCTTGATAGAAATAGAGAAAACTGTCTAGACCTTTTTTAATCCCCGTTTGATATTTCCACCCAGGTGGAAGCGTTGATAGTATAATACCTGCGCGGCTAATCGGCATTCCGCGACCCTGAGATTAAAATCGCCGGTTGAGGCTTTGTTGTGAAAAGCCTGGCTGTGCGCTATCACGAACACCGCATTCTTCGGAAGCGTCACGTCGCTGGCGCGCAAGGGGTTAAATTCGATCAGCTTGGCCGTGCCTTTATGAACAAGTAAAAAAATATTATAGTAGTTTGAGACACACATCGAATCCTCTCCTGGCGTGAAACCCTAGATATCCTTTTTGATACTTTATTCTGCGCACGAACGTTATTTTGCGGTGTGTAGTGGTCGAACGTGATTTTCTTGGTTTTTCTCTTCCGTATCTTTGTAAATTAAGTCTTGTAACTACTTTTTACACTATTATACTTCTTGTTCCAAATGAACAGATTTAAAACTGACAATTAAGAAGAAAATAAAAGGAACGTGATTTTTCGGAATTTAAAGAGATAATCTGACAGTTTAACTTGCGAGATATGCAATAGAGAGCGCGATTACCTGATTTTCCGAGGAAAGCGATAGCCTGATCCATCCCGCCGCCTTGAGTGCCGATATGTCTCTCTGCGCGAGCGCTGATAGTCGCCAATTCATGTTTCGTCAATTGACACTGTAATGCACAACACACGTATCGCCGCGAAATAATAATGTAAACTATCGTTATAATAACAAATATCAATAATCTGAAATAGAAGTCGACTGTTAATCGTAAGAGACAAAATAAAAAAGGAAATTGTGACGAATGACAAACGCGACAGAGGTGCGACAAAAATTCTCGAATTATTAGTCAACATGCTGATTACCGGGCTGACAGGAGATTGAGAAGAACGTATATGATGACATATATAAGAGCAATACAAAGCGCTTCGAGGAATAAACCTCGAAGATAGCTACGCCGCGTCCGATATCAATACTCGTTCGAGCAAACACGAAACCGTCAAAGGAAATAGGATCTACGTTCGACGACGTAGCTGGTAGAAATGAAGAAACGCTATACGGGATGGTGATCGGTAGTTTGATCCACTTGGCAAACACAATGCCTTCTAGGGTTCGTTATTCGCGAAATATCGTTTCGTCGAAACGTTGTTCATACAAATTTAGATTAAAATTACATATGCGTGCGTGCGTAATTTCTGTAATTTTCGAGGTACTTGGTTTAAACTTGGGTTAAACTAATTTAACTCGTCCGTTGCTACACACAGAAAATGTATACTGCATTTAAGTAAATGCCACTCGTTTTAAGTTTTTTCTAAGTTTATGCATCCGCATAAACTATCTACAAGCATATCTACAATCATAATCTATCTACAAGCCCGTTATAAGTATCAAATTTATTCAAAACACATTTTGATATTAGTAGTTTCAGCATTTCAATTGAGAATATTGAATCTTGAAAAAGAAGAATTCGGCTTGCTTTTACTATATCCATTGAAAGAAATACATAAAAAATATTTACTCAGTAGGTTACTAAAAACATATTTATTTAAATCTAAAATCTGTTATTTAAATAACATAAATAATTGCTTTCATGAAAAGCTAAGATTTTAAGAATACATATATTTTTTTACTTGAAAAAGTACTTTATATTAATACAAGTAAATATGTTATTAGTAACTCTCCCTAAATAAATATTTTTTATTTCTTAGATATTTTCTTAGATATTTTTCGTCTCGGTGTAGAATCAAACTAGCTCCTTTTCTTTAATAAAGTTTCATAATATTCTTGTGAAGAGAATACATTGTTCTTTCGGGATATGATAATGAGCTTCTTTAAAATTTTATGTAATTTTTTTGTGTGTAGCGTCATACGTGTGTGGCAGTAAGAATTTCCCTTCCATGTCCACATTATTAAATTAAATAAGTTTGTTTTGCGCAATTACCTAAGAAAAAAAAAACATGAGATGGTCCGTAGGGAGAGTTTTCTTAATGAACTGCGGTAGCGAACATGTTAACTTTGCTTAAAGAAGAAAACTTTCAGGCTCAAGTAAACTGTAAGGAAGTAATTCGCAAAGTCCAATTTGGGAGCTGGTGGGACTTTAGTCGAGTAACAGTTAACTTTAGTCGTTCACTAATTGTTTTCTTAGATGACAATGTCATTTTGTAACACGATGAGCGGCCTACGAGTCACCGACGCCTTCCAGTCGTGTTTTAGGCATTTTCAGATCGAACGTAATGTATTTGGATATTCACGGCTGTTGATCGAAGAACGCCAGATGATTTTTCTATCGATTACTCCAGGTTATAATACACGACTATCTGACGACGATGCGTTCGACAGGATGATAACATCCAGGCGCCAACGACACGTAATCCCGTGTCCTCGGTGGTGTCTTAAATTCCACTCGAGACAAATAATTGAACCGTCCTCACCTGACTGGCGTGCACGATTGAAAGGAGCGCGGCCGAAACGAGCGCGCTCGAGCTGGAGAGGCCGGAATTAGCAGGAATGTTGCCCCATACCGCGACCAGAACTCCCATAGGAACGGACTCTGCTGGGACTACCTCGAGAGCTCCTTTTACGCCGCACAGAAAATATTTGTGCCACGTCGGTCCGCTCTCGCTCTCACTAACGTAGCTTCTGAAACGTGCGACTACGTTGCACTTACGTTCGTGTAGGATTTAACGCTTGCCGGGATTAACAGATTCTGCGCGATTTATTTAAAATTTTCTCGTTCCCCCTCTCTTTTACCTGTCTGTTCTCTTTCATTATATATATATATATATATATATATATATATATATATATATACACGGTTTGCTAACGAAAACTTTCCACGATTCCAATGCCATAAGATATAAAAAATCCTTAAAAATATTCGTAGCAATTTTGAACAAAGATTTTATGGAGAATTGTATGGAGTTTGGTGGATGGTACTTTGAATATTCAATATAAATTTCTCTAAATTATTTTCAATCTTTTGTACCCAAAATTTCCAATTGCGATTTTTCGCAAAAAATATTCATTCGAATTAAAAAAAAATAAATACCGTTGTGAAAAATATCTTTGAAAAGATATATTATTTGACTTCTATTTTGCTATTTAAGATTTTTTGGTGGATAGTTACGAAGTCGATGAAGTGATATAGTTAAATTTATCATAATTATACAGCCTCCTTAAAAAAAATATTGACGTATATCGGCAATTTTGACAAAAATCAATTAGTTACAGAGTAATCGAGGTAAAAAATTGTCGTTGGCATTTTCGTGTATATATATGTGTGTGTTTATGTATATATATATATATATATATATATATATATATATATATATATATATATATATATCGTTGCATAATTAACACACGAATTAACGTACACGAAATCTATGTAACATGCGAAAATCAGGAAAATCGATTACGGGCTGTTCGCTAAGCTCCCGGCTGAGTTATATGCTATCTGACGTGGCGCGACACTGAATAATGAATGAGATTAAGAAAGTTCGTATTATCTTCCCGGGTATTATACCAGGAGTAAAGAAAGCGCGGAGGTTAATTTTATCCAAGGTGAGAGAAGAAGAGAGAGAAAGAGAGAGGAGGGAAAGCGAGATTACACGCGCAATGTCATCTGTTTTTCTTGCGTTACGCGTATCACGAGCGCGCCAGTATACGTTGGTCATCCATAATTTCTCGTTTCACGTCGCGAGATAACAATTTTACCTCTTCATTTAGTTTCGTTCGCTCGCGAAATGAGAAATTACAGTAGAGACCTTATCTCGAGCGTGTCGCCGGTGCACGTACGCGCCGCGAGGATAAATTGAAGATAATTCCAGTTTCAGCACGGTAATCCAAGATGGCCGTGGCCGGGGGATCAAGAGGCTTAAATTGTTAAGGGGCTATAAGTGCTTATAAGTGCTCGCGGCCGCAAGTGCAAGCACAACGATACGTTATGGAGCAGATATTGCAGATATTATATGCTATAAATGCGCGGTATACGTGGAGTCATGCGGCGTCTGCGTTCAAATACGATATCTACGGAGCGTATAGAACGGCAGCCTGTCGGTGAAGTCCGCTGTCGGAAAAGTTTCCGCAAAGATGTCGCGCTGCTTGCACGGGGCTATTAAAACATTTGTCGATAAATTCCCGGACTTGTCTAAACTATTACAGCCAACTCCGCGCCGCGACCCTTAACAAACTTAAACCCTTATCGAGTTATGTACTCACTCTATGTCCTCGAAACTGCACCGAAAGTCCTTGTACTTGGGGTCTACGTTGGTGAGCTGAATCTCGTTATCTTTCGACAGTGCCATCGCGACGAGTATATCCTGCTCAATAGCCATTGGACAAACGGCATAGCCGCAATAATCAATGTGCTCGCCGATCAAATTTACTCTATAACACACCAGGCGGGATTTGTAATTCGTAAACGTACCTGTTGTTGATAAAATAAAAATTTATAGCACTCGCGCAAGTGGAGAAATATCAAACCAAAAAAGTATGATTTTATTCTTGGAAGAAAAATGAGTACTCTTAGTTGAAACAAGAATTTTATTATGAAGTTAATTAAAGTTATTAATTAGTATTTTTATCGTTATTATGATATTGGATTAATTCATAAGTTTGTGTAGATTTTTAAACAAAATCGAAATGCATTTTATTCTTGTCAAAAACAATTTTAAGTAATAATGTGTACGCCATTCGGTTTGATAATGTTTTTTGCTTCCTTTCATGTAATTTCATAATTCCCTTCTCGTAAAACTCTTGTGTTTTTTTACGTAAAAACGCGGAAAGTCATTTTTTATATCTTCTAAAGAAGCCGAGTTTATACCATCAAAAAGGTTTCATAATGAGCGACACAGATGACAGTCGGAAAAGATAATATCGGATGAATATGGTAGGTGAGGTCAAGTATCCCAGCCAATCAACAATTTTTACGAAAGTAAAAAAGCATAATGCATCGGAAAAATTCATTACTGCCTTCTATTTTCAAGTCGCAACAAAAAGACAACTGTACTTGTTTTAATACTTACATCACAAAATATGCTCTGAAATGTCAATCATCAAAACATATATAGATAGCCAACTATATACATATATGTGAAACTATTATCAACAAGCGAATGTTAATATTGAACAGAAATCCGCACGAACTTACGGGTTAACCTAATATATTAATTATAGTAGCGAGAGAAATTTTCCGAAGTGTATTACATCGAGAAATAACTCACCGTCCTGGTACTCGGACGAAAAAGGCAGGTTCCACATTGTATTTAGACACGAAGTGAGTCGTCAATCTCTCTAATCGCAGCGAAATATCCGCGCTGGGTGTCAGGATAGGCACAAAGCGGTCCTCTGCTTCCACGACGTAGTCTCCGTTCGTTCGACAAGACATTCTGTCGAGCTAATTTAGCTAAAAACACAAAAAAATAGCTGAAATCTCCGGTAGCGAAGATCTCATTCGAGTTAATTCGCGATTTTTTTTGACATTCCGCTGTCACTTCCTTCCGACCATTAACTTAATGAAATTATGACGTCGCGCAATTGCGATTGCATGAATTGTTAATAGCTGAATGTTCTTGCTCGGATTGGCGGTGTAACTTGCTTGGTAATTACAGCACTATTTGAAATGTAGTCACAGCAAATACGTTGAGCGGCAGCATGAATAGGAACAACTCACTATACGATTTCAATTTAAGCCTCTTATTCGCGACGCAGTCAAATGTTTACGTAATAGGAAATACGTTGATGCTCTTTGACGCGCCATGTATAACCCGCGGTGCAATATAATGGATCTTAAATATAACTTTATATCTTTGACGGGGTAACATATTACACGTGCCTCCACTGAGAGAAAATATATCTAAGAAATAATAGACATTTATTCGGTGCTGATAACATATTTACTTATATTAATATCAAGTATTTTTCAAATAAGAAAATATACACATCTCTTTAAAATCTTAAAAAATTATTTTGGTTTGAAAAATCGCCGAAAAAGATATTTTTCCGGAATTTTTCATAGGAAAACGAAAAGATCGTCAAACTTCATATACTCTTAATCTTATTTTAAGGATATATTTTGATTGTCTGACTGACAAAAACACTCTTCTTCTTTTTGTATGTTATATCTTGGCCAGTAGGAGTTGGTAAAAAAGATTAACGGACAGTATAAGTGTAAGTGTGATTATAGCTCTCCAAGATATCTCTGTAACGCGAAAACAAAAAATTCTCTTATTTTCCTATTTTTTAGATATTTTTTCTCTCACGAAGTGTATCATAAAGGAAATAAAAATAAAAATCGATGAGTAAAAGTATTGAGATTAAGATAAGAAAATGGGAATCGATGTAAAACATTTAAAAACAATTCGAATGCTTAATTTTTATCGAAAAGAAATAGGACATTTACTGTGAAATAATGCAGAGATTTTATTTTTGCGTTCTTTTTGTCGAGTTATTACCGTTGCTGTTTGCAAGATGGATCTTTTTAAAGAGCACAACGAGATCAAACATATACATAATAGATGCAACTTCGATTAAATTTTATTATCATGTGAAGCTGCTGTACTACTCCACTCTCCTTTTATTCGGATGCCTATTGAGGTCACGAGCCAGAAGCAAGCTTGTCCCTTAATTCTCTGAATAGTATTTGATGGAAATGATGCTCGATATATATACACACGAGGGCCACATGTGACGTATAACAGCCCGCTTTATTGTCAAATTATTATTGACAAGTTAATGCCGCTTGAATAAGATTTGCAAGGCTGTTAACGCATAACGATTTAATTACATTTGCGGCGCTTGCATCGGTAATCGAACGATCGGCGTCGCAATACATATGCTACTGTTTTGAACAATCACGACGTTTTTTACCTTTGTTGAATCGCCGGATTTTCGTGGAGATGTGTACCGAAGATGTTTGTGAACGCGTAAAAAGTAAAATTTCCACGTTATAGCGCAAATAAATCCTATTTCGGACGATCGCGAGCGTAGAAATATATACTTGATTTTCTTTATCGAACGATAAGATATAGTATAACATTTTATAACGTGAGCACAGCTCACGTTATAAAATACGGAAGTTTTGTCACGGAAAAACTATCGGTATAATTAAATGTCTCGGTACTTAAAAAATAGTGATCATCGAAATATACCTAAAAAAATTGAAATGCATTTTATTCTTGTTAAAAACAACTTGAATAATATATGTGCTATTTTGTATGTGATATGTTCGATAATCTTTTGTCATCTTTCACATAATTTCATAATTTCCTCTCTCGTAAAATTCTTGTACTTTTTTCAACACCATCATTTATAAAATATCTGAAGTATCAGCTATCAAAAAAAAAAAAATATATATATATAGATACCTAACTATGTATGGAACTCCTACCAACATACGAATGCCAACTAAAAATCCGCACGAACTTATCATGAATTTAGGATCAATTCGATATAATCTCTTCCCTAGCGGAGTCCTTTTATACAGAGAAAAAAATATTTGAAAATTTATTTGCGAGATATAAAGTTCCTGTGAAGTTATTTCTGTAAAGTTATTCCTGTGAAGTTATTCCTGTGAAGTATAGTTTATTTCTGTGTGAATAAACTTTACATACTACAAAAATAAATTTTCAAATATCTTTTTCTCAATGTATGGCCTCAAGGAAATTATTCTAAAATTGAAAGAAAATATTCTAACAGTAAAAAAAGGAAAACTCTAGTTGCAAAGTGCTATTTCTTATAATTCCATATTTTACACTGAGAAAAAAATATTTGAACATTTATTTGTGAAATTTTAGTTTATAAGTAAACTTGATCTTACAAAAATAAACTTTATACCCCGCAAATAAATCTTTATATATTTTTTCCAATATAAGTGAAGAGTATTCTTTTAATGAAAAGGAATAATATCGTGCTTAGAACATTTTTCTTTTGGTTTCAGAAGAATTCTCTTGAGATCATATATAAGAAGCTTCTGCTGAAGATGAGATTGTAAATTTTTGAGTGCATATTTTACATTTCAGCGTATATAAATATTAAATGCAAAACGTCAATGTGCCGATTTCAGACTTGGCCGAGTTAATATTCTAGATTTTTCACTGCAAGAAACGCCAGACGCGAACAGATGAAGTCCACTTTGACGATTTCTTCCACTTTGTCTTTCAATCAATATCTATTTCTATAGAAACTCTCATCACGCGCTTGATCGTCCACTGATTTATTAATAAAAGAGAACCACGTCGGGGATCGTATTAAAGTCGCTCTCTGATTACATATGATATGCGGTAACGTTGAATACATTAGCGATTTGTATTCATCATAACTTCTTCGGAGGTATACGCGAAGAGCTTATAACACACGGAGATACCGCATTCCGCGCATTTTATCTCCGCAAAAGTGCCCGCGGCAATTTTACTTTATTTTTTTTAACGAGAATATGAAAAGGTCGATGGATCGTGGCCTTTATCGACGGCCATAAATTCACCGGTTGACACACGATGAAACGCTAATTCGGCACATAGTTCACAATCAAACACGAGATCTTGAGACATACACACGCGTGTTGGGCATACTTGTGTTTGTAAGTGCGCATCGATATCTGTTCGAAGATGTAGACACTACACTACACTACTTCTACAATTATCTACCTATTTATCTTCCTACTTATCTGTCTGAAACTGTTACGTGGCTCCTATGAGGCTAGAAACATACGTTGAGGATTATGCAATCGTAGATCCACCGTATTTATCCGAGAGGATTGTCCTTTTCCTCTCTCTTTCTTTTTCTCTGTTTCTCTCTCTCTCTGTTGTATTTTTATGAAAACGCGAGCAATGGCGATTCCGCGACCAAAATTAATCTTCTGTCCCCCTGAGACGGACAAATATAATATCGTCTGTAATATACCGTTTTTTGAACGCGAATAACGTAGTTTCTGCGTGGGCCGTGAATGTAAGCCGCTCTATGAAAATTTCTTTAAATTAAAAATCCCCCATTAAGACGTCAAAGCGCGGGCGTGTCATCGGGAGATTAATGAGTGTAGTTGTTATAAAGGGTGAAGCGATTCGGCGCGTCGTTTATGAACTGAGCCATACCGGCGACATTGTGTAGTCTGGATATAATTTTTATTTCATACTTAGCACACGAGTATCTCGCACACACATACACACACACATGTACACATGTCCGGCCACAGCAATGAGCGACAGCGCGACGCGGCGTCGTCGTATGACGCGTATACACGTACACACGTGTACACGCGGCGCGAAGCGCGCGCACGCCGGCTGATGTCGCGTTGTTCGTGGCTGTTGTGGCGAGTGGCAAAGCAAAACGCACAGCGCGGCGGCGACGTGGCGGACTTGGTGGTTTTAATAAATCGCCTCGGAGCTCTCGCTGAGAGAGAGAACTCTAACCGAATAGGTTCGGGTTACATACCTTGCTTTGCGGCCGATCGCGACACTCTACTGGAATAATGCGATACGTTGTTATCTCCGTTGATTAACGTTATCAACACGTGATGCCTTTTTTATGGCAAGGCGACATTCCACGTCGCGGAACACGTCGCGTATCGTTTATCGATCTGTACCGCTCGTCTCACGAGGTACCGCACGCCGTCGGACGCGTCGCTCCTGTGCGGTAATGCGCTTCGCCATGCTGACTTCACACACGGCGGGTTATTTGAATGCATTCGTGACGACACGGTGTGAGACACCGGCCACCGACGAGGTACTACTAAAGACTGTCAGCCCTGGGTAAATTTTCGACCCGACAAAAGAGCCCGGAGGTGTCCGGAGATAATTGAAGAACGATGACAATACCGACCGTTTCTCACACAGAGACGCTTCTGTCTGTTCGTGTGACAACACGCGCTCGGTCGGTTCAGCACGCCGAGCGAGAAAGAGAATGTCATTTTCGCTCCGACTCCATAACAGAGATGTCACATCTAAAGTTTGATATACAATGTGCTCTTTGCTTTATGTTTCTTTCTGTTAATCTCTTTCTGATTTAAATCTTGATTTTGTAATTAGAAGAAAATAAAGAATAAGAAATAGGAAGCGAAGAGTATATTGTAGATCAGGCTTAATGCTTCGGCTCTGCAACAGAAAGCAGATTTAATTTAGTATTACACACAACAATGGATTAAGGAATTCGAATTCAAACAAGAGAATTTCTAGTTTTATCAGATTTCTAATTATAAATTCAAATCAGTGAAACTCACCTTTGTGCCAACTCTGCCAGGCCCAAATCGAATCCTCCGGTGCTGCATCCCCTTAGAGTCGTGTGCTTGTCTCTACAACAAAAAACAGATTTAATTGAGTGTTAATTAGTTACACGATGACGATGAGGCATTAAGGAACTCGATTTTCAACAAGAAGATTTTCAATTTTGTCGGATTTCTAATTATAAATGCAAATTAGTGAAGCTCATCTTTGAGCCGACTCAGAAAGGCCCGAGTCAAATTCTCCGACGCGGCATCCCTCAGGAATCGCATCCCCTAGAGCCGCGTGACTGTGTTTGCTTTATTAGATTTCTGTGACAGAAATTTAATTTAATTTAGTAATTTAATAATTTAGTGTCAATTAATTACACACGACAGCAAGACGAGGTAAGGAAATCGTCGTAACGGCACGCTCGAGTTGCTTCCCAATACGCAATAAAAATAATTAAATGACAACTGAATAAAGAAGTAATAATACTTGAATAATATGAATGAATGATGATGTTTGATCGGCATTGAGGAATTTGTTCGCGACATTTTTTTATTTAACAAATAAAAAAGTAAATGAAACGCGGTAATTACCTCGCAATAATATTCGCAACATCTGCTCGCGTGAGAAGTAAGCGTCTTAATTTATCTTAATTATCACCTCAATTGTCGCGAAGTCGAAACACGGTATTAAAAATCGGCACGGAATAATTTAGAAAATAACGCGATATGCTCGTCTGGACGGTTGAGAGTGTATGGCGTGACACTCGAGCACGTGCTCGCACACGCGTGTTTACATGACCTGGCCGCGCGCCCCTCCAAGCGCCGCTCAGTTAGCGGCACGAGCAGGCCGTTACAGTACGTTTACCTAATCTTTGTGGAGCCTCGAGTTTTTGTTAAAGCTGTTGCCCAGATATTGTTATTACCGATTATTCGATCATAGTTATTCAGTTATTATCCACTCGCGGCTATTATCACACGATTGTCGAACACATATTATTATAATTATTATAAAAAAGTAATAATAAGTGATAAATATTACAATGGTCGATGTTATAATGTCAGCTTAATCATATGGTATATTACGTAACTGTTACTTTGTTATATAACAAATACTTTATGTTTATTGGGCAGTGATGATACTTGATCGACAATCGTGTGATAGTAGCCGCGAGCGGATAATAACTGAATAACGATGATCGAATAATCGGTAATAACAATGAATAACAATAACTGGGCAATAATAAAAGATTAAAGACGAAGTAAAGAAATTGTCGTAACGATACGAGTTGCTTCCTATGCATAATAGCAAAAATTAAATAATAACCGAATAAATTAAATAATAATCGAATAAAAAAGTAATAATACTCGAATATTAAATAGTAGTGACAATAATATCTGTTCGACAATCGTGTGATAATATCCGCAAGTGGATAATAACGGAATAACAATGATCAAATAACAATACCTGGATAACGGCTCTAACAAAAACTTGAAGCTTCACAAAGGCTAGGTAAACCGACCGTCGTTACGGTGCCCTTGGGCTGCTGACTGAGCGGCGCTAGGAGGTGGGGGGGGGGGG